GAGTTTAAAGTCTTACAGGCTTCCATTTCTGCCTGAATCTCTTGAGTCTTCCGTCTATATTCTAATTGCTTGCTCTCTCTCTCTCTCTCTTATGTGCACAAAGCCTCTACACATACATATTAGTGCGCACAGTTTTTCCATCTATATTCTAACAGAATTTGAGGTCTTACTGGATTCCATGTCCAATCTCTCTGTCTCTCTCTCTCTCTCTCTTCCACACACTCCTAGGTGAATTCTGATTGATTATCTTCTCTCTTCCTGTACTTGCAGTCACATTGGGTTCCGAATCCAAATGGAAAAATACATGGTGTAAATGACTTCAAGCAGATCTCTGACACAGCTTAATGTTGCCTCTATTGGTGAATACATCTCAGCCTTTCCTCTTCCATGTTTTCTGCAAAATCAGGGATACCCATTGTTAGCATTCGTATAAGAAGATAGAACGCTTTAGCATTTGGATAAAACAGCCATATCAAGCCGATTCTGAAATCCTGGTTATTATGGGGTAGGTTTTCTGTCATCGTCATTTTTTCTCGTCAGAAATAGGCATGCTTGCTTGCGGCCCCATCTGAAATTTGTCGACTCGAACATGAGGATATGTGGGTTTCAAGAATGGAATTGATTACTGAAATGGATCTTTTTTGGTCTTTCTCCATTTGCAATTGCTTCGCTCTCTCTCTAAGATGATTTTTGTGGATTGCTCTCTCTCTCTCTCTCTCGCTCTCCCCCTCTCTCTGATTTGTTTAGATCATCTGTGTTATTTTTTGTCTCTGTAGTGATCTGTCTCTGATTTGTTTAGATCATCTGTGTGCTATTTAGTTGCTACGTGAGAGCATACAATGTGATTTTTTGGTGCCTCTGTAGTTCTCTCCCTGTGATCGCTCGTGTGCAATTTTTGTTTTTATGCTTGTCTGGCGTTTTTGCATTGTATCCACAGAAAAGCTAGGTGGATCCATACGTCCAAGCGACCCATGGTAGGCTCTTCCTAGTCCAAGTCCCACCAAACTGCGGATACTTTTTCGGAAAACCATATGGTGGTGCAGTGCAGTTTGGACATAGGAAGCTTGATGGTACATCGACCATTATGGTGGTGCAGTGCAGTTTGGAAATAGAAAACTTCATGGTACATAAACCATTTATTCTTTGAAAAACTACGGTTGGTGTGAACCATCTCCCATCTGAAATGTCTCACATGGAGAGGCCGGTAGAAACATGTCATTTTGTTGTTTACAGGTTCATGTAACTTGGTTTTTGGATTGCACATATGATTGTGCAGTGTATGCAACATCCTGATATTCGAGAGTTCGAAAGTGGTTATAAGTGTTCTTGTCTCACAAAAGATTACACTATACGCAGCAGAAGATCGAAGAGAATTATCTCCATCTGAAATTTTACCATTCGAAATAGTAAAAAAAGATTTAGTCTCACTGATGGTAAGACCTTTAATAGAGCAGAATGACAGTTTAGGATTTATGTAGTCAATGTCAATTAATTGAAAAAAAAACTATGATGATGATGGTGAAATGAATATCATCAAGAAGCAAAATATACTTTTTGAGTTCTATTTTACTAGGTTCTAACAGTCTGAAAGGAAATGAACATTCTATTTGTTTTTAAGATATCCTTTTTAGGCAACATTTAGATTGTATGGTTCATTTTTTACTTCAATTTTTGATGTTAAGTTGAGAAGGTTGTCTTTAAAATTGGGGGTTCTAAAAATACTCCTGCTTTACTATAATGCAACAATATAGAGTTACACATCTATCCTACCCTCATACCAGACCACAAACAAATGAAAAGAAATGAGTAGAAAAGAAAAAGACAAACGCACTTTTCATTGAAGTTCATTACAAATCCAGCTTTCCCTACTTTAGGATTGTTTTATTGGATAATTAGTAAGACCTGGGCGCAGCACGAGCATAAAAGAATATCTAGTCTTATACATCACGTGTAAGGAACCATTGACTATTCATTTTTGACGTTCTCATATCAAACATTCGCTCTCGAAAAATAATGGCATTTATACAAATGAGATCAGATGCCAAACCACCAAAAGAAAACCCATTCTCTAAACGTTGTAGTTTCTATAAGCTTGCAACCTTAAACAATCCATTTAAGGCGCACCTCCAAATACCAAATTTGATCATGTAATTTTGGTGTAAATTATTTTTTAGGATTATGTGAAAATTTATTTTCATATCTAATTATAAAATTTTAGCCTCCAAAAATTATTAAAATCTAGTAGATCTATAAACATATGAATATCTTGAAAATGGATGGTCCAGATAATATGTTGTAAGATGTACTATTTTTAAGACTCAAAATCTTTTTTTCTTTTCATATTCATGCATCTCAACGTCGAGATGATCAATTAGAGAGTTTTTCAATATTAAAACAACTTTTTCCGATGGATTTTTGAGGTACATCTTTAATTCTACATTTTAAGGTTGCAACCTTCTATAAAGTTTTTCCTTATCTAAAAGCTCTGCCGACTTAGCAGTTAGACCGTAAAAGGCATAATATTGAGCATCCTATGTTCAGGTTTTAGGTCACAACATAAAAAAGAAGAAAAGAAAAGCACGATCTTCATTATCATAAAGAATTAGTAGCATCACCACCCTGTGCACACCATTCACTACTTCCAAAGCCAATAGTAAATTCACTCCATTAATTCCATCTGCTATTTTCACAAGAGGCATATCATTTGCAGAATCACAGTACAGAAGCTTCATTTATCGGAATTTTGCTTTGATAGTTTTCTTGAAGGTGTTCCATTATACTACTTGTTGCGCAAGAGATTGATGATCCTCTCCACTTGATGGATCCCAGCCGGGTGGTTTGATATTAGGCCAATCACCTCGACAACCCAATCTGATGTAAAGACTCTTCTTCCCTACAAGGGTTGACATTAGCAACTCTGATATCTAAAGAACGGTGATTTGATCGTAGTTTAAATTATGAAAATGCTTGAAGTTATGAGATATATTAAAAAAAGGATGAAAAGAAAATATATACCCAGAGATTTCTGAGCTTCAAACGAAATTACTACCTGCCTAAAACAAATGGTGGAATGAAAAGTTTGAAAACGTGTAGATTAATAATGAAATTTGCCACTCATTAGTCATTAGGCAACTCATTGAAACAAGGATTTTCTTGGCAATGCAACTCTTAAGATGTTATAAAAGGTCCTGATGCTAAGTTATAGAAAGCAGGGAAACTCTCATAAATAGGGAAAAGTCATAAAATAAAGAATTTCTAAATAAAAATAAGAAATACTTTTGCATATTTTATAAATCTAAACTTCCCTCAGCACCTTTCCTTTAAATTACAAATTCTCATGATCTTGCAGAAAAGATCTTTTCTATTTGGCTTGAAATATACTGATACTTTGCACGATATTTTAATTCATTTTATTTTTTTATGGCAATTTTGGTCACACAAGTGTAACATTCATCAAGAATGATATGTTGGAACCTGGAAGCTTCTTATCAGTTAGAATAAGTTGTTTAAGTGCACTTAGACAAGCTTGAGCAGCCAGTCGAGCATGCTCTGGTTCCCATCCACCGAGCTTCACCACCACATCTGCATTTGAGTAAGCTTGGCTACCTTCTTGCTTCTCTCTAAGAGCCTCGTCCTTGGCAGAGGCTTCATCTACAAACAATTTACAATAATTAGTAAAATGACAAGATAAGAGTCATGAGGACCCTATGGGAGTTTGGCTTGGGATGGACAAAGTAATACTCGATAATCCAGAGAATAAAGTAACGAGATATAGCTGAATCCATGAATGCTTTAAATTTTCTTGATAATATGATGCACACACTCTCTCAGAGAAGAAAAAGAGAGAGAAAAGAGAGTTTGGGCAAGTGAGGATGGTATGCAGATAAAGTGTTCAATTGGCTGAAGGATGATCAGTTTGCTTTTGGACCCAATTCAGCTACATATTAGAAATGGATTGTCAACTGATTTGACCATTGATAATTCTGAAAGCATTATGGTTAAAAGTAAATGAACCCAACACTAGAAATTAACTGAAGAGAGCAAAAATGATTTTCTTACAAAATGACGATGTATGAATTTAAACCAAATGTAATCTGAATAAAGTTGAACTTGAGCAAACTTTCAAAATTTAGCACTCTCCTTTTCCCCTATAGAAGTTTGAGATCGAACTCCTAATAGGGGGAAAAAAATAAAAAAGGACCAGACTGTATCAAATGTGCCTTAGACCATAAAAAAGAGCGATCACATTTCTGATAAAGCATGATTCTCATTGCTTTCTTTATGCTACTTACATGACATTATTCCGGTCCATTAGCTGTATGGTGCCCTATACAAAACTAATAACTTACTGATCAATGAATAGATTGCAGGGGATGTCAGAACTGTGATCCTCTTTTTCAGCCATTCCATATGTCTTAATAAATATACCTATCATCTATTAAAATTGATATTCTTTGCAGTGCATTCTTGCAGCACTGCACAGGTCTTATAGGTTTTACTTGAAGAAGTGATGCAAGGGATGAGCTAAAGAAAACTGCTTCTTACCCAAGGCCTGAGATCGAGATAACCATACAGTGAATCCAGCATGAAGGTGCCTCCACTTATCATGCCCTCTGGCTGCTCCTTGCTTGCCCCCTAGTGTTGCAACAACAGCACGTACATGGCTGCACCATCATAGAAAGTGCATTTAAGGGGCTATTCACTTGCTAATCAAGCCTTGTTTAGAAACAAATACATAATTAACAGAAACCCAAATCTTACAACTTAGAAAACCAAATCTTACAACTTGGAACTTAGGTCCCCAGTCAAATTTTTTCTTTTCACTAAGTTAGACAGGTACCCAGTCAATTCTTTTGTTTCTTTCCCCTGCTACTCTTGCCCAAGCATGCTCAACTGTAGAGATCTGATGCAGTCTGGTGCATTAGGGCAAGTCTTTTGACTTTAGCTAGTTTTAGTGAATTTCTTCCATGAAAGTTTTTGGGAAGAAAATTAAAATTATAGCTTAAGACTTACCCAGGTCGTAGAAAGACTCCACAAATACTTTGACAATCTAACCATAGCGACATACAACCATTTTTTCTTTTTGGAAAATATCTTGAATACTATCACAGTTTTTCTAATGATTGGTTCCTTGCAATTACAAGATTTCAAAATTTACTTTCAGATAATTTTCCTACATTTTTTCTCTAAAATATTATGCTTCAAAGTAACCACAACTTTATGTAAGAAACATCTGTATAAACGCGAAATTCGAATCAACATAAGGAAAATGAAATATCTAGTCTTACCTACTGAGACTTTCGAGTACTGCACTCTCCGCTTCTGCCACAGAATCTGGCCCTTCTCTAATCACCCCTGGAAGTGATCACATTTATTAATGCACTGCAAGATCGAGGTACAAGGTTATCGATAACTGTTTAGTCACATCTAGATGGTGGATTGTCAAGAAAAGCTCTAAATTCTTAATGTCACTCTTTCATTTTGGGTTAATGACTGTTTATAGCAATGAATAAAAGTAGTATCGCAAATAAACCCAAATCATTTCAGTTCAAAATAGTAACCTATTGTATATTTTGTTTCTTGTTTTTTTCTTTTATATTATTTCTCTAGAATTCATCTATAAAATACAGGACAACAATGCCATACTTACAACAAAATAGGACATACTATATACAGAATTATTTCCTGGGCATTTTGAATTTTACAGTAAACCAAAACCACAGCGATGAAAGGTCTCCATGAGAACCTAAAAGTGAACTGAATAAATCCAGACTTCCCTCAAGAACCTAAAAGTTGACCTTTGACCTCAATGCAACATAAACGTATGGCATCCTAATTAGCTAATAATGTTTGAAATAGGACACAAGCTTTTTGCAAGCTTCAACTCACATGAATCAATTGTTCTCTGCACATATGTTTCCAGTAGTTCACTGGTGCTCAAAGGAGTATACCTACAGGAACCAAGAGAACCCTTTTATTTGCGTACTTTGTTAACCACATATATGTCCTCAAAAAGCTTTTATTTTGGAAAATGAACTTTATACTTAAGACCAACTGAAAGCTCTTTAGCAACTTCATGATTAATATCAGTTGAGTCCCCAACAATGTAAACCGATGTGCCTTTCAAGAGAGTGATGGCTCCAGTAGAGAGGGATTCCCAATTCTCCATGATATCTGGCCATTTCAAATCACTGTCATGCTTCTTAAGGTTGACAACTAGTTGGTCCTCGTCAATATACCTGTAACAATAAATATCTGTTGTAGTAAAAATAGAACAACAATAGATTAAATGATTAAATAATGATACACTTTATGGGTAGTGAAACGCATAAAAACTAAAGGTAAACTATACCATACACAGCCAATGTACAATTATCATACACAAGTTGTGCATGGTATACGTTTCCAAATATAAGTTCATGTAAGCCATCCAACAAACCAGATAGTTTCAGAAGGTTTTATTGTCCCATATAGATTAGCAATTTCCATCAGAGTTGTAAAGGATCCAGTAGCCTGAACTCTGATCGTTAAGGAGCTTTCATGGACATCAACAAAGAGATCTCTGGAACTATGGACAGTTTGGCCACTCAATGGCAAACGCAGTTCTAGTTCTGCACCACCATCGGAGAACTGTACAATATGTTCATGTCATAAAATGCAATGTCCCATAAAATGAATGTAAATTTGAGACATAAAATTTTCTAACAATGACAATGTTGTATGAAATGAATTGATAAAGGTGTCAACAAGTTGATCACTATAAAATTTGAGGCCCGAAGCAGGCAGTAATTTGATTTTTATAAGGTGTTTCATGAAAGAGAGAATTCACAGGAAGTACAATTCAAATTCATTCACAGGAAGTACAATTCAAATTCATGATCTTTCAGCATACAAGAAAATCTGCGAGATCCACTATCACAATACTGGACTTGCAATTATTGATATAACCACTTGTAAAAGAATTATTGATGATAATAACAATTGTTATTTGGATGATCAGGCACCGAACCAACCACATTGATGCTTTTGTTAGAACAGGCAGTTCACCATTTAATACATTTTTCTTCCTTTAGTTGGTGAGACGGCTGAGACCAGTTTTGGTCACTTTTGGAATATAGTTCTGAATATTATTTCACTTCGCACATAAAGCTAAATATGAATAATACGATAATTCATATTGTTTCTTGCTTTGCTTTTGGTGTTTTCTCGAAGCAATAATTAAATGAAGTGATGGAAGTGGCTACTAATAAGAGGCCTAATTAATAGCATACTAAAGGTAGCAGATACCAATCACAAAACTATAAATTGTAATCATAAAAAAACAAAGAAAATAATGCTGAGCTCACAATGGCTCAAAAACTCTAAAAAAGCCAGCTTTCAAATTTGCACATGTAAAATTTACACTACACTGATTTCCACAATAGGCTATAGAACATCACCATTGATACTTTTTTGTTCCTTTTGTGGGTGTGCTGGCTTAGATTGGTTCTGGTCACTTTTGGAAATAGAGTCCTGAATATTATGATTATTATCTCACTTCGCACATACAGCTAAATACGACCGATTCAATAATTCATATTGTTTCTTGCTTTCCATTAGGTGTTTTCCCTAAGGAATAATTAAATGAAGCAATGGAAGTGGTTAATAATAAAAGGCCTCATTAAGTGTATACCAATTGCAGCAGATACCAATCACAAAAATGTTAACCATAAAAAAAAAAAAGCTGAGCTCATAATGCCTCAAGAATTCTCAAAGAACCAGCTTTTTTACGCACATAGAAGATATGCAATACACTGATTTCTATAATAGGTTATAGAACTTCATCAAAATATTGTGTTCGAGCCAGTTCTGTAAGTTATGCTTTTAAAATATTTCCCTTCTATCATCAATGAAGCCACAGAAAAGCCACCATTTTTTGACTTTTCGAAGAAATTAATGTTCATCTATACCAGCAGCCTATCCCACATGTTATGTCTCATTCATAATATATCCACCTGTAATGTACCATGCCATTCATGATTTCATTTATCAAACGTGCCATACTTCTCATTTTCCCATAAAGTTATCTATTAATATGTTTCATCTACTTAATGTATATGAGCTGCTGAGAGAAACATAATATGCCAATCCACTAGTCTCTCCAAGCCAAAGAAACAACTGATCAACCTTTCCTTTTTTCGTTTTTGCTGGATAAGTTAGGAAGCAAACCTCGAATGTTAGAGTTGCCACCCTTATGTGAACTTCTATTCCCATGAGCTGAGCACCTCTCTAAACCAGAGAAACTAAAAGTCTGTTTCACATAATGATGCTGCAAACCATGTTTCTACAATAATGTCAGCCTTTTACGCATGTTCTTTGCACTAATAAGATTCCTAGATACTATCTTCTTTTGAAACTTCATCTCCCTTTCCCGTTTCTCCGTTACATTGCAAATGCTTAAGGAAGTCAACGTTCTCTTTTTTCTTATTTGCTCTCTTCTTCTTTAGGTGAGACAAGTATGCAGTTAGGTGGGGCTTTACTATTGTGAACTCACAACCAACATATACATTCTACAGGGAGGAATTATTGCCAAGAGGATACTTCCCCACTTCCAACAAAAATATTTGGCCAATAACAGTTAAAGCCAATAGGAAATATAGGACAAATCATATAATCTGGGGCAGTGATTAAAACTCATTTACAACTAGGGAAAACTCATCAACTCGACTCTCCCAATTGCTTAGTTTTATTTTAACTGAAAAACTCAGAACAGAGGTTTTTGATTATGTACAATCTTTTTGTGTTGTTTGGACACGAGTGACATTTTTCGATGTGGTAGGAATGTGGTTTCACTAGGTCACAAGTTGGGTTGGTATTCCATTACGAACACTTTTTTATTTTTATAAAATTTTTAATTCGGGTTAGTTGACTCTGTTTTGGCTAGTGACCAAGTCAGCCACCAAGTTCAAGTTTTTGAGCACTCGTTTGGTTACGGTGCAAACCATAAGTTTCCTAGATTGTAGAGTAGTCAATGGTTGAGGGCATCTTTTCATATGTAGATCAACTGGCTTCATCCATATAGCAGGATTCTCAATTGTACACATTGCAAGTGATTATTTTACAGAAGTTAAATGGTGCGGGAGTAATTTTGCTCAATTTCCCACCAAAATCTTCTATAGAATTGTTCAAGGGTATTGAATGAAGGTACAAGAAAAAGCTATTCAGTTGCACAAATCTCCCAAGTACACATCCCAGAGGACGATCTGATCCCATTTATGGAGAAAGAAACTTCTCTTATTCAGATTTTCTCTTCAGTGTCTCCCTAAACCCCTACACAAAAAGCATATGGGCATAACAACTTATAGGTGTGCTTCTTGTTCAAGAAATTCTAAAATACCTTAAATATTATAAGCTAATTCCAAAACTTACACATTGTCCACATTTCAGGACCTAAAGTTTTCACCAATTGACTTCGCTCAATAACCACATTTCCAATTTTTCAGCTCTTCACCTGATCAGTTCATGTCTTTAATCAAATTAATTGAGGTAAAACCAAATACCCAACATGAAAAAAAAAACACCTAGAGAAATCCAAGCCTTACTGGCACATGAAGTTCAATATGAAAAAGAATAACTTCATACCCAAAAAAAAGTAGTTCAGTTGAATTGTGCAGATATACTTTTCAATAAATAAAAAAAGAAAAAAAGAAAAAAAGAGATACACATTAAGAAGAAATAGAAAAAGTAAAATAATTACTGTAAAAAATGTACAGGATCCAATCAATATAATAATTATAGAGGCATAATAAAAAAATGATACATACCCATCAGAACTATAGGAAGAAAAAAGGGGAATGATAGTTGAACAAATAAAAGTAGCAAACCTAAAGGAATTCATTTGATAACATACCTCATATTCTGCAGTTTTTAGAGAATTTGGAGAGAGAATGGAGTTGGGTTTGGTCCCTTTTCGACGGTAGAAGAAGCCAGTCTTTGGGTGACGAGTAAGAAATGGTGAATACAGAGAAAGGCCACGTTTGAGATAGAGAAAATTGCAGAAAGAAGTTTTCGAGAGAGATAATTGAGATTGGAGGTTGTGTCTTGGGGCAGTACTAAAGCTGAGTGGAGAGGAGAGGGAAGGAGCAGCTCCCGCCATTAGGATTTGGGAGTAGCGAGAAACCGAGCAACTAGGGAGCCACTTCATTTATCCATTTTGCCGTCTCCATTCACTGTAAATTACCAAAAAGTTTGGAATGTTTAAAAATGATGCCATTTACTTTGAAACAAGGGGTTCACAATTCCTTCAACCGTTTGATGTGGAATTTGATTGCTCGATGTCTTACAAAGTTCGAATTTTTTTTTGAAAATAAATGGGGCTACTCAACTTCACATTCAATGGTCAAGATTATTGTGACTATCTTGTATCAAAATAAATGAACTCATTCTATACTTTCCTAAAAGGTATATGAGATTGCGGTCCTAAACAATCAAATTAAAACATACTTAAAAAATTAAGTGAAAGAAATTGTTTGGATGCTAAAAAAATCCTCAAATCTGATCATCTCGGTTTTGAGATACATGAACATAAAAACCAAATAAACTTTGAGTCTTGAAAATAGTGTACTTTGTAATATGTTGTTTTAGACTATCAATTTTCAAGATTTTCAAGTGTTCATAAATTTGCTTGATGTGTATTATTTAGGTTTGAAATTTCATAATTGAAGATGAAAATAAATTTTTACGCCATCATAAAGATTTTCTATGTTGAAACGACATCTTTCATCATTTTTTGAAAGTGTGCCTCACTTTGACTCCTCATCCAATACAAACCACACCTATAAATTATAGGGATGGTAATGAGTTTGGTAGTTTGGTTCCACCGTGTCCCATAGACCGTAAAAAACTAGGTCTTATGAGGGCTGAACATCCACGGCTTAGGGATAGAGCTCAGTTTTCCTTTTTCTTTTATCTCTTATATTTTTTTGATTTTATTAGGCTTGGCCTGACCCGGTCTGGCTTGGTCTTGTAGGGCTAAGGTCAGGCCCTCTATAGTCCCATCAAGATCAGGCCATGCTTCGACCGAGCTTTTTCGGACTAGAGCCAGGGTTGGCCAAGCCCATCTCTTATCCTAAATTTTGGAGTCCCCTGATCATGGGATGATCATTTTAAAAAAGAGATGACATTTGAGTTCTTCAATACTAAGACGCCTATTCTCCCTCTCTTATCCATTCCAAGGAGCACACCACGCCCCCCTT